GATGACGTCACAATATGATCGTGTGAATAAATTAACATAATTATTGACGTCACAATGGGGGGTCATGTAAATAAATTAGCAAAATTGGTGACTAAACGAACTGTAGAGGGCGCTCACAACCAAATGACGTCACGAAAGAATTTTCTAAACGAACGACAGAGGGCGCTCACACACAAATAAATACACGTCATTTTGAAAACTAACGAAGTTTATTACACAAAAGAATAATATTAACATTAAAAAACATGACATTTTAAAATGGTTGAAATACATAGGGTATACATTTTGACAAAAAACTATTAAGATCAGTTACATGAAATATATATATATATTTTTTGTGTTTTGTTGTTTTTTGAAGTAATTAATCATAAATTGAAATGGTATACATTTTCAAACGCTGTTAAGTATTCACACTGAGTAAAATAAGATTGATATTATTAGAAGTAATATAAGAATGATATTCTTAGGAGTAATAATGAAAAAAAATGACATTTTTTAAAAAAAAGTTGAAATATGTAGTGTACATTTTCAAACGCAGCAAAGTATTCACACTGAGTAAATAAAAACATGGTTATACATGACATTTAAAAAAATGATTGAAAATGATAGCAAACTAAATTGAAATAAATGGAATAGGGTTAGGGGTCAGCAGAAAACTCACCAAGTTTCCTACATTTTACTGTGCTATAGAGAATAAGTGCTAAAGTATGAATTACATGTTTATTCTATATATGCTGCTGTATGATGTCAAAGAGTTGGGAAACCATTTCGCATGTTGATTTTACAGGAGGGTAAACACAATTCAGGGGTCAATTTATACAACAGAGCAGCACACGATTATACCGTCTAGAATATTTTCCGACCAGTTCTGGGTGAATACGTTGAAAGGCATCATAACAAGTGGCAATTTTACGCACAAAGCTTGATTAATGTATAAACGAATTTCGTTAATCTGACTGGTTTCATCACAGAATCCGTAAGATAAACAAGCGTGTCGTATTTGTGAAGGATGGTCTATTTCACAAGCTAGGCAATTAGATTGAATGATGCGACGCACCTGTGCACAGATAAATTCAGTGACAATTTTTTTTCATAATCAGTTTATCCTTTGGTTTCCTGTTGCCTGTGAAAAAATACAAAACATATCTCTATCAACAGTTTAAAACGTATAGGTGGGAAATTTGATTG